GGTATACCCGAAGAAATGATTAGCATACTTTAATTGACTAATGTTAAATTATGTTAAATGATATTGCATAAGTAACCCGACAGAAAGTGGGCATGACCTGAAAATGTCAGAGTACCTGAAAAGATCAGGTTACCTGGAACTGTAATAAATTGGTATTACAGATTAACATGTATTAGATAATTGACCTGACCAGCTCAGGTATTGTGCTTATCAGAATGATTTATGGTAACCTGAAAATGCAATTAACATCTACAACAAATTAGTAGCACTTGTATTCATTACTGATAAAATGAAGACTCTGTTTTTAATCCAAAGTAAAATTACTCTCCATAATTTATAAACTAAAAAACTGTCACATATCATTATGTAAGTAAAAAAATTGTATCAACTTTGAAATAAGAAAACAATTTTTCACACTGTTTGTCTCAGAGAAAATCTGCTTTAATTCGATAATATATTAAAAATAAGACCTTACAAGCCCTGTCACCCCTTCTGTATTGTAGTGTTGTATGCCAATTAAACACAGAAATGTGATATTTTGTTTTATCTCTGCTGATAGCAGCATGCAATACACTTCCTAATTAAAATATACCTGAGGTATAAAATCATATACCAGAAATCATACCATATAGTAGTTGATAATGGTCAAAACAGGAAATATTACAAGAATAGATATATCTGACCGTTTGGCATCAAGGGATAAAACTGAAAGTCCTCAAACAGGAAACCTACAACTGGTGATCAGAAACTTTTCTTGTCTCTCTGAGAAAGGTAGATTTTTTTGTGTAAAAACCCATCGTCTGCTTTAGCTATTTTTAGAAACAGTACACTTAGTCAGCTTTTGCTGTACGTCTATCACTGATAAAACAATGTAGAATGCATCCGATAGTCTGATCGAATGTTGGGGGTTTAAATTAATCTGTCGTCAAACCAGTCTAACAATTTTCAATAATGCATTATGTTTTAATTATTTCGTTTACATGGAAAAAAAATCTATAGAAATATACTAAAATTTGATTTTCTTATGAAAATGACCGTTCATAGATTATCGATGAGTCACGTTGTGTTCCGAATGTAGTCATCGAATTTAGCACTGACCCGGTGGCCCTGCCATGGCCAGTGTAAATTAGTTCGGGCCAGTGAAAATTTTGAGAAAATTTAGTTAGATAGATACTTTTTATTCCTCCAATATTGAAGAGCAAAACATGTTTACAAAACCGAACAATAACAGAGCATGGCATATGTACAATAAATTACAAATCATAACATCTAAGCGAATATCATTTGTTATACAATTCTTTCAGATCGAATAAATATATGGAGATATGCTAATATCTACATTTATCTCATAGGATGACATAAAATGTATGTAACAGACTTCATTTATATAAAAACCACATCGTATTTGTATTTACTCTGCAAAAACTAGAAGTTGACTATCAAATTATAAAGTATTCAGGATACAAAAGATGTATTTAATTGCTAAAGTTTAGTTAAGCAATTCATGTATATTCATATCTTTCTTCGGTTACTTCTGTCAAAACTTTACTCGAAACGAAATAGCAAAATGATGACTAAGTTATTAGAGTATTTAAAGGTACTCTAGGAATATAACCAACTGTAAATTGATGGTGTTTAAGAAAAGACGACATTCAATGTTACAATACCTATCATACTGTTATATAATTACGATGAATTATTTCTAACCGAGGAAAACAAACAAATTATAAAAACAAAGATAGATAATGATAGTTTTTATGAGATCATATCAGTGTTTAAGACGTTATATGTTAATGTCTCACAATAATGCAATTATATATACTTGAACAACTTGTATAGGCATTTTGCAATATTATAATTTCCTAATTTATACACGATTATCTTTTGATTCTGTATCTCTTTCGTTATAAACAATTATTCCACACTTCATGACATTATAGTTATATCTCCATTGACGGGAATAATTGGAGCATATATCGAGCATTTTGTCCATACCACATTTCGACAATGACACTAGGACCATATCATCGGCTACAGTTGGGGTTGAAACATTTAGGTCATATACACAAAAGCCATATCCACACTTCTCTAATTCCTTTATCAACCCATCAATGAAGAGGAGGTAAAATAATGGCGAACTTTTCCCTCCTTGTCTAGTTCCTTGTAATACGGGAAAACTGTCTGATTTGATACCTTGATACTTAACATAGCTAGTCACTCGTTTATACATTTCGACAATGGAGATTATTGTTGTTTTGTCTACTTCACACTGCATCAGTTTGTAAAATAATCTTGAATGCCAGACATTGTCGAAGGCTTGACGTCCATCTAAATAGCACACGTACAACTTAGAAGAGTTTTCACGGGCAAACAATATGCTCTCGCGTAATACAAATGACGTCATCAAGCAACCAAGTTTCTCTTGAAAACCACCTTGTTGAGAACTAAGTTTTTCCAGTAAAGTATTTTTACATCTTGATAACAATACAAGCTCGTACAATTTCAAAATTACCGATGATAATGTTATAGCACGATAGTTATTGGGATCATCCTTCCTTTTAGTTCCTCCTTTATGTAAGGTTAAAATCACGCATTTTTTCATATCGTTTGGAATGTAGCCAAGCCTAAGCATATGTGTGAAGATATCGGCTAAAATTCTAGAAACAATGTCTTTTGAGTAAATTAAATGCTCGTACAATAAATTATCCTCACCACATGCATTTCCTACTGGCAGGGTCTGTATAGCCTCAGAAACTGTATCTGGAAACACGCGTACTGTTTTATCGGTTGTGATACGCCCTGGTGTTTCATTTACCGTCGCTGTCACTGACTGCTTCCAATATTCATCATATTCTTGGGATTCATTCATGTATACAAAGATTGGAAATACAGTCCCCACTCTTTTGAAATTTGTTCTCGGTCTCTTATCATTTTACCGTTGAAGTTTATACCTTCAGTCATTTTACTTTGACTCTTTCGTTTTCTGGAATTCACTAGTTTCCAAAATTGAGTTGAATCGATTTCTGCCGTTCTATCCAACTCGTTGTCCTGTTGAATAAGAAAATCCTCTGAGCACTTTCTCAGCATCTTGCGAAAGTCCCGTTTAGATGATTTATATTTAACGTAAAATACATTGGCGTTTCTACGTGGTCTCCCACCACGACACCATTCCTCGCGTAGCAATAGCATTTTCTTGTGTAAGGACGATAGTTCGTAATTCCAGAAGGTTTTTAAATATTCCTTAAAACGTTTCTGTGGTAACACGTGACACACACTGTTCAATAAACTAGGTGAAATCACTGTGTATGCTCGATCAATACCATCTTAATCGAAATCACAATATTCAAGTTCAATAAATTCATTGTCAGATAATAATAAAGACTGATATTAAACAATGCTATCATTAGATGCTTTCTTCCAATTAATATTATACACATTACTGCTTTAATTTGTTAGCATACTTGGTTCTACATATATATGAATAGACATGACAACAGGCCTGTGTCTCGATACATTTAGACTATTATCATCCATGATTTCACAATAAGACACAAGATCAAGCACTTCATTGGGTAAACATATATAGTCAATAAGTGTTGAAAAACGATCATCATCAGAAACATATGAACATGTGGCACCATAACATGTTGGTAACGTATTCACAGCTATCAAGTTACAATCTGTTAAAAACTTGAGCATATAACTGTGACGAGATGTTAAGCTATTCCATTGTGAAGTCGTTTCTTTAGGCGCAAAATCGTTGTCTTGAGGCCCTGCCTCGATGTTACTACACTCTGCTACTCTTGGAACAGCTGACAATCCCAGAGGAGCCTCGTTTTCAAACGACATTGTCAAAGACAAAGAGGTTTGGTTTAAAACCCGTCTCTGTCGTCTGCTCATTTTCAATAGACATAACGGTAGAGGAAGAATCGACAAATTGTACCTCTTCGGATGACACACTGTTAAAAGATTTGTAGGTTGTGGGAATATTTTCATTAGCAAGAGTATTTATATTCTCATCATAATACAGTTGTGCTTGTGGTATATTTTGAGATGCCAAAGGTGCTACAGAATATAATGAGTTTGTGTCTATAAACTTTTCTAGCTTGTTGACACGGTTTTGCAAATCAATTTCACATTTAATAATCTCACTCTGTTTTTTGCTCACAGCAATTTCAGTTTCGAGGACACTTCTACGCACACTCTGTTTACCCTCCAGAATATCGCATTTGATATTGTTCATCGTCTCTTTCACAAAGTTCATCTGTCCTGCCCGTAATTGGTCGCTGGCATGCAGGCTTTGACTCAGGAGAAGAACTTGAGCCTGTAATGACGATACAGTATCTTTGAGCAAAGCAAGTTCTGTCGAACACTGACATTTATTTTGAACAGAAGTTTTATCAGTAATTGTTAAATTACTCCTATCTGGTGTTGTGGGGTAATCATCAAGGGCAGCAACTGCTGCCGAACGCCGTCTCGATGTACTTATCATTTCCTTGAGTAAACTGTAGTCTTCGCCCTGAGTAACTGAAATTATCGTATATATATCTTGGGCTAGTTTGATTGATATCGGGTCACCATTTCCCCTAAACACTCTTCGTTTTAGTTCTGCGCTAAGTCCAAAAGGAAAATCATCATGCTCCTGTTTAAGCACTTCAAAATATTGTACACGGACACGTTCCAAGTCAGATTCTGATGATGCATACATCCTTAGCAAATGCTGAACAAATAAATCTTTTGGTATATCATGATAAAGCTTAACCAAGTTATTATACTCTTCGAGATCTAATTTGTGTGGGATATTGAAAGTATCGTACTGACTCTGTGATTGTGTTTTGCCTGTAACCGCACTAGCATATGTCTTTGTATTACCCGTATGAGCCACTTCCGTGTTCTCTTTAATGATATCAGTTCCGATTTCCCACTGTTGTTAATTGTCCCTCCATCGCTAGACGTAACCATTGTCCTTAATCCCGAAAACAGCACCGCACTCAAGCGTGATGAATACAATTGTTAGTAGGGGTGAGTGATCGTATAATCTTTCCACAGGCACTTAATTTAAGGCCGAAGGGAGCTGGTTAGTTTGGACACTATGTGACATGTTAACAGTAAATACTAAATAGAAAGTTATTCTCAATCTTCAGTTTCTATAAAATACGTTTACCTATATCAACATGTATATACACATGTACACCAAATTTCAATATGAAGCACTATTTTGCATTCAAAAAATAAATAGTTAAAAGAAGACACAACACAACAGTCGTTCACACTAACTCTGCCAAAAACTCTTTTTATTTGTAATGTATTTGGATTTTATGTGAGTGCTGTTTGTAATATGTAAATAACTTTTTTGTTCACTTCACAATATTTTACTTTAAATTCATTTTCAACATTTCCATATAAGTTAGCATGAATCTGTAAGCATGCTGCTTTAAAAACTCTGGACCTATTTAGTGGTTGTTTCAATCATTTACACAATGTGAGTAAAATAATTTCCTAGTTTAATTGAATCCTTTTCATATGAACTTATACAATGTAGTTACACATAGATAAAGCATGGTAATATCAATGAAACAATTTCAAATACATATAACTATACTATAATTACATGAAAACTATAGCAACGTAGTTTAATGATCAACATTATTTTTTGTCCAATCACATTGTAGTATTTTTCGAATTTCTGCTTAGTCTAACTTTGGGTAATGTGTATTAACTAAAAAAAACCAACCTAGGTATAAAAGGGAGGTAATGGCTGGTGGGTGGTTTCTCTTGAATTTTCAAACTGTATTCAGCTCAGGGAGAGATTTTCAAATATATTTGCAGTAAAATACAGTTTTTTACCAATGAAAAAATTCCTAAATGAAGCCAAATGATTATTCTATGAGTCTAGATTAGAAATTTGAAAATGTTTGAAGAAAATTTAATATCAAATAATAACAGAAATACAAATTTGAACTAAGGGGAGGAGTTTATTATGTAAATAACCATTTGACCACATTGTTTGTAAACATAGCAATGTGATCACATGGGAATCCATACACTTGCAATAAGTACATCAATGTATTACTTACTTGATATGATGGTTTTTCTAAGGTTTGTCAGAATAATCCTCTTTGCATCAAATGAATTGTAGTTAAATATCAATAAAAGTGCATAAATCCAGTACATTTCACAATGAAAATATACAGAAATGATAAAACTCTTGGCTTGTATTTCTCACTATTGTAAGTATATCAATTTTACAGACACATTATATTGAAGTTATAAATACTAGGAGTAATTTTCAATTTCATCAAATAAGGACAGAAATAGTGTCCAGTGTAGGATTGTAATAGTAGATTAGGATACAGTTTCCTTACTTTATTTAACACACAATTTTGAATTACATTTTCTCTAGTTGAACAAAAAGAGTGCCCAGAAATAATCATTTCTTCAATGAAGAAATACATTGGTTCTTAGTTACTTCCTTTTACACCAAGCATTGTGTCTTTACATAATTGAACAAAAGATTTTGTATCTGATTTTTATCAAAATTTATTTAGCTTTTTTGCCTTGACCTTTTTCCATTTTCACTTTACACATGAGGAACAAAAACATTTTTCACATGAAAAAGTAAAGTCAGAATCAAAATCATTAGTTTCATCTGCTCTTTGTCTTATAAAAATAATACTCTAGTTAGCTGTAAGCTATATTTCCAGTTTCCTTTGACATGTGAGCATTGTCTATGACCTCATTTCTTTTTTCTAACATTGGTGACATACTTTTCCCAAATTCTAATAAGAGTGGTTAAACAGAGCTTCAATGGTTAGTTTCTGCTCTTAGTGACCAGTAAAAACTACAAAATAAACTTATCCATTTATATTGAATAACACAAATCAATGAAAACGCCAAAAAAAAACACTATTTTCCTAGCACAAAAAGCCCTCCTAAATTGATTTTAGACAAAGGTCATCTAAATATAGAAGATGCAAAATATGTAAGGTATGGAAGGTATAATTGTGTAGTCACATTTATTGTTTTATCACTATGTAAGTAAAAAAATTGTATCAGCTTTGAAATAAGAAAACAATTTTTCACACTGTTTGTCTCAGAGAAAATCTGCTTTAATTAGATAATATATTAAAAATAAGACCTTATAAGCCCTGTCACCCCTTCTGTATTGTAGTGTTGTATGCCAATTAAACACAGAAATGTGATATTTTGTTTTATCTCTGCTGATAGCAGCATAGCAATACACTTCCTTCTGAGGTATAAAATTATATACCAGAAATCATATAGAAGTTGATAATGGTCAAAACAGGAAATATTACAAGAATAGATAAATCTGACCGTTTGGCATCAAGGGATAAAATTGAAAGTCCTCAAACAGAAAACCTACAACTGGTGATCAGAAATTAGGCTAGATTTTTTTGTGTAAAAACCCATCGTCTGCTTTAGCTATTTTTAGAAACAGTACACTTAGTCAGCTTTTGCTTGATAAGATTATAGTCTGATTGGATGTTGGGGGTTAGGTATTTCTAAATGTGAGGATACAATCAATTAATTTATTACATAGATAATACATGTGGGGCACGCAGAGACAAAAGATTACATAGTAACTTTTACTCTAAGAAAAATGTCTTTTATAAATTGCTGACTGTTTTAAACTTGATATTTTCTAGAAAAAGTAAGTAAAACATTATTTTCTTACAGTTGATAGGAATTAACTGCATTAATAATCCTTGATATCAAGAATACAATAATAACATTTTTGGCTGTAATTATGGACCCTCTCCACCTGTAAACTTAACTGACACACACAAAAATAAAAAAAAATGAACTGTTTTTCAAATGAGCAAATCAATAGGGATTTAGATGTTAGTGAATAACTTGAAGCTAATAACGGATTTGTATCAATTAATAATCTCTAATGTATTTTTCTTATATTTTCCATTTATTTAAATGATGTACACATGTCATTAACTCCATTGTTTTTACATAATTGCATCGTTTTCCTCGCTGTTTTTTATAGATATTTTATAGAAACATGATAGTCTCTAACTGTAGATAAAGGTATAAATTCTGTGACATTTCAGTAAAAAATGTGCCTGATTATATGTTGAAAGGGCCATTTAATTAGCTTATCTAAATGTGACATGTTAGAAACTTGACAATCTTGTAGAGTGAAAGGGCGGAGCTATCAGTGATATAGAGCAATGCCTTGTTTTTGGTTGAAAAAAATAATGTTGATCATTAAATATGTTAATGTTTAAGAATATGCATTAAAAAAAAAAAATTGGTCGCCTGCATGCGGCAGGCTTGACCAATTATTTTTGTTAATACATATTATTAAACACTAACCTATACATAATGGACGTATATTTTTTATCATTTCTTTTACATGGAAAAAAAATCTAGAAATATACTAAAATTTGATTTACTTATGAAAATGACCGACCATAGATTATCGACGAGTCACGATGTGTTCCGAATGTAATGACAGTCATCGAATTTAGCACTGACCCGGTGGCCCGGCCATGGCCAGTATAAAGTAGTTCGGGCCAGTGAAAATTTTGAGAAAATTTAGTTAAATATATACTAGAATAAATTCAAAACTGGAATTCGGTCCAGCAAATTCAAAATCTTATATTCATTGACTGTAATGATTAATGAACGTAAGTTTTAATAATAGCTATAATAATGAAAACTAATGTATAAGTTAATCGAAATAAAACACTTGATTTATGATTTCAGTGGATTATGGTTCCTGGTTTCAATATGTAAAAGAATGGGAGACGTATATCCTAGAACACTCCGATCACTTTATACATGTGATATTTTATGAAGAACTACACAAAGTAAGTCTGAATTTATATATGCTTACATCTTTTACTAAAATTATCTATTTATACATTAACTTATACGGTAGTGATAGAATGCGAAATGGACATTAGTTGTTTTTTTTGTTTTGTTTCTTTAAATTATGGTTTAATTGTATTGATTGATATCATGTTAAATAATGAACATGTGACATGGGATATAAAATTACAATTCAAACAATTTGGCAATATTGTTTTCATTATTGATACATGTATATTTGAAAATAACCGTATAATAATGCCACATAGTTCAGTTTGTTGTATTATATCGTTACGTATGTTAATCGTAAGTTAATAGAAACGATTCTATTTATAACCTTAACCTACATGTCCATTTCGTAAGCGAAAACTGTATTTCGTTGTCGAAAACTACGGAATGCCGTTAGGGCCATCGCCTATGAATGTATTGATCTAAAACGCGATAGTCGATAGTACGATGGTGAAAACGCGAAATCACGAAACTACGATGGTGAAAACGCGAAAGCACGATGATGAAAACGCGATAGTACGATAATGAAATCGCGACAATACGATACTACGATGATGAAAACGCGACAAACTATCGTGTTTTCACCATCGTACTGTCGCGTTTTCACCATCGTAGTTTCGTGATTTCGCGTTTTCATCATCGTACTGTCGAGTATCGCGTTTCAGTTCAAACCATTCATAGGCGATGGCCCTAACGGCATTCCGGAATGCCGTTAGGGCCATCGCCTATGAATGTGTTAATTTGAAACGCGATAGTCGATAGTACGATGGTGAAAACACGAAATCACGAAACTACGATGGTGAAAACGCGATAGTACGATGATGAAAACGCGATAGTACGATGATTAAATCACGACAGTACGATGGTGAAAACGCGATAGTACGATGATGAAAACACGATAGTACGATGATGAAAACGCGATAGTACGATGGTGAAAACGCGATAGTACGATGGTGAAAACGCGATAGTACGATGATGAAAACACGACAGTACGATGATGAAAACGCGAAATCACGAAACTACGATGGTGAAAACGCGACAGTACGATGGTGAAAACACGATAGTTTATCGCGCTTTCATCATCGTAGTATCGTACTGTCGCGTTTTCATCATCGTACTTTCGCGTTTTCATCATCGTGCTTTCGCGTTTTCACCATCGTAGTTTCGTGATTTCGCGTTTTCACCATCGTACTATCGACTATCGCGTTTCAGATCAACACATTCATAGGCAATGGCCCTAACGGCATTCCGTAGAAAACTCCATTTCGCAGACCCCAGATTATTTTCAGAAATATTGTCCGCAATGAACATGTCGTTACTTTTGTCTAATTACTTCTTCATGCCGACTTAATGCTGATTAGTCATGTTGATGTTATAAGGGAATTTGGCATTTCGGTATACAGTAAAAACCCTTTTGAAAGGTTTGTATAACTCAAATTTGAATGAATGCAACGATTTTTAACGCAGATGTCACTTAAAAACCCATCGGAAAAATGACGGTCTTTGCCTCCAGTATAAGCCAAGTGAGTTACATTTGCCACCAGTATGCAGTATGGGCAGCGTTTAACTAACGTACTTACGCCTAAGATTTGCGTAAGTTTTAATGTAAGCGTAAAGTTACGAAAATACTTACGAAAAACTTAATGTTAGTAAAACGCTGCCCTGGTGGTTAGTCTTTGCCACTTGTATAAGCCAGATGAGTAGTATTTTGTTTCTAGTATGTGTCTTGAGTGAATAACGTTTTGCAAGTATAAGTAAAGTGATGAGCATAAGCCACGTGACTAGTATAAGCCAGGCAAACTTGAACTTACTGATTTATTTTCATTTTGATATCCCGGCAATAGGTAACGGACCACAGTTAGATATTATTTATTAATTATTTTGCAGAACAACGTAGAAGAAATAAAACGATTGGCGAAATTTTTTGGACTCGAACCAAGTGAAGAACTTGTGCAGGCTATTTCTGAGAAATGTCAGTGTATAAAGATCGTAGAGAAATATATATCGGGAATTACACATTGTACCGAAAAGGTATTTATTGTTTTTAAAAAATATCAAAAGTTTACTCATGCCTAATGGTATTCTTTTGTATGTACATGTACAAAATGTATATGTATTTTTCCAATGAAATATAATTAAGGATTTGAAATAGACATAGCTTACTGTTCGAAAAACAAGAATATGTAACAAGGAAGTATATAGAGATTTCCTTCAAATACATTGTATATAAATATCTTTAGATACTATTTATTTCTCCTTATATACGCAATTATTTGCTTAATTTGACATTATGCCAATCCGAGAGAAATATTATGAGTAAAAAGATAACAAAGTTAACGTTTTGACATAATTCCTTCCAATTCTTTAATGTAATTTGCATAGACGAAAAATAAATCACATGGCCCAAGGAAATTTCTACAAATATTCATCAGGATTATTACATGTTACGTTCAAATTATTTATATTTTATTTGTCATCATTTTCTAATCAACAGTTGATCAATCACCATTTGTAAACTAGTTGTCAATCCTATGAAATATATAGTCAGTTCAGCTCATCTTTACAAAGAAAAAATGAGCATAATGTCACTTTAATAGTTTTAATATTACAGGAAAAGTTGGCGATTGGAAAAATTGGTTTACAGTGGCACAGAATGAGGAATTTGATAAACATTATTTGATAATTTGCTGCTAGTTGTGGAATGTAGTTTCTATTTACGTGACTGTAATGTACGAGTAAAAAAAGATGTGTTAAGATGTATGTACGATATACAAAGTCTTTGTCAGTATTTAATTTATTTGATATCCGGCAGTTAAAAATACATGTAAAAGTGGAAAATATGCTCATATTTTCAATGAATGTATGTCATTTCTATATGCAATGCATTGTTAATAAGATTGTTTTATATTTCTCACATACATTTCATTTAATCCTATTTTAAAATTGTATTTATATACCAAATGTATTGATTGGCCTTTACTTGAATTATAAATTGAATATTACATGCATTACAATTTTATAACTTATGTTGTTTACTTCATATATTACATATTAAGTGTTTGTGATATAAACATATGTATTACCTCATTAAAGGTGTTTTATATGTTTGCGTTTCATTTTTTATGCTTTTATAAAAATTGTTCACAATGTCTCTCTATTTCCTTGCTTATTTGAATGAAAATGTAAAAAAATCAATTTGTCTCCGATCATACTTTATTGAAGGAAACGTAACACTTGTTAATTTCCGTCTATTTTTAGAGTGGCGTCCGTGGCCGAGTGACTAGGTCGTTGAATTCTTGTGTTCTTACTTGCTAGCTCCTCACGGTTGCGTGTTCGAATCCCGACTGGGACTTTGCATTCATTCATATGAGGGAGCTATCCATGCACTTAGCTTACGGAACGTCGGTGGTTCTACTCCGGTGCCCGTTCCTGCCTGAAATTATGCAGATTTTTTAAAGGCATAATATTAGACTGTAAATGTTTTACAATGCATGATACTGTAAATTAAATTGATGAAGTGAAAATTATTGCAGAAATGCGGTTTCAAGACATAACTTGGGACATTGAATATCAAATATTTCAATATGCTTTTTGTACAATAGACCTTTTTATGATACGATTTTTCCATAGCAACGGGTTGGATGTTCACTTTTCGCATGTGAATTTTGGGTTGGGCCCCAAAACGAAAGAAATAATATTTTTAAACTTAAAAACAGAGTAACTTATTTCAATCGGAAATTTTTTTTTTTGTTTTGGGAAACTTTCCCCGAGGGCATGCTAAATTTTTATTTAAAATTTTTAAAATGATTTAAAAAAGTAAAAAATATTGGGGAAGAAAAATCTGAGGAAGGGAATTTTTTCCCTTTTTTCAAAGACAAAACCACTAAATTACCCAAAAGGGGTAAAAAAAATAAAACAAAATAGCCCTTAAAGTGTTAATAGCGCAAATAGAAAAAATAGTTATAGAATTTCTGAAAAATCATCATTAATTCCCCTTAAAAATGTAAATTATTTCTTGGGGAAACTTGAAAACTCCTTTTTTCTTTTTCCAAAAAAATGATAAAATCTTTCCTTTAAGTTTTATTTTTAAAATTTTTTTGGCTTTTCGGGGAAGGGATGCTGCTTTAAATGACTGTCTTTGATAACAGTGTGTACTTGTATTGGTTCTCCTGGATAACAATGAAACATCGCTGAACATGGGCAGCTTGTTGATGCTCAAATTTGATGCTGCACGCATTTTTTAAAAGACCGAATCCGGTGTGATATACCCAAATCCTTCAGCATTTCCCTTCGAGGGCAAAAAAGTACCATATCATTGAATTGTTGCCAGCAGTTTTGTTTCAGAGCTAACAACACGCCTGAGATCAGGACTCGAGGTTATAAAACTTTTATCTGAGTTCAGTCTCATATATCCCAGGATTTTCATTTGTCAATGAACGTTTTGTGGTTTCTGACCAATCAATTACCTGAGATCTTAGTTTGTGCTCAATTCTATTTATAACCTTTGACCCAGATGTAGCATTTATGGTGATAAACATTTATGGTGATAAACATAAGCTGAAATAAGTAATTCATTTAAACATAGGATAAAAATTAAACCATTAATTTTATTTGGCATTACTTAATCCAATATATTTATTTCAGACTAGATTATTGAAATCATGCCTGATACTGTACATATGACAATGTCAGCATCTTTTATTGAAGAATACATACATGTTTTGGAGAAAAAAATCTTAAGTCGGATGAGTAATTCAAAGCTCACGCCCGTTAAGTGTACACCATGTATAACATTTTGCACTCCGATGTCCTTGTTGTGAAAATATGGAATACAACTTGAAAATAGTAATTTCCTTATTTGTATTTTAGACCACTACTGGTACAGTGATTCTATGTTTGGTACGTGTTACAGTAAGACGGTATTATTAATCAAGTAAAAACAATTAAAGGCCCATTATGCCTCAGAAATGCTATCATATTTATTTCACAAAATGTTTTTATTTTTGATATCTTGTTACTGTTTGATATACAAATGTACTATTCACAATGCAATTTGTTGTTATGCAACATCATGTTTTTCGACGCAAAACACGCATTTACAAAAATTGCACAACATATTTTAATAATTTGAAGACTGTAAATTTTGTACATTCTACGGAAATCGGTTTTACTGCGTTTATTACTGGGTCTACCCTAGCTATTAACTGCACTTTGAAGGTGAAATAATGCGTATTATATAAAAAAGTATATTTTTTTGTAAAATGTCTGTAAAAATAGAATCCTCAATGAATGAAAGTGAAATTACACTGCCTTGTCATGCAACATCATGTTAAGAGAACTAGCATGAATTCGCTTTTGGCATTGCGATGTCGCCCCACAGCAACACGACGATGCGACTTAATTTTGGCGGGCATAGTTTTTACTCTAATATAACCTAATCTATTCAATGCAGAGTAATTTGAATCAAATACATTCGATTCAATATATCACATGTTTCTTTTGCTGTAGGCAAAGTTGAGATCTGTTTATTAGAATACTTTCCTCGTGTATAAATCTCCACACGGCTCTAATCTGTCCAATTCGAATTATCAGATGAGTGAATTTCACTACCGTCAATTTGCGTGGTTAAGTCTATTATTATTTTAGGGGGTGTCGAACGTATAGAGGTAAGATACTTTTTTAAGCGAGGTGAAAATGTACGATACGGAGTAATAGAGGTTTTTAGCATGTTGACACCCATCAGCGTGGAAATATTTTATAAAATTGCTAGAGATCGCAAATTTTGTGTGGATCATGTGGGGCTCTGACCTACACGTATTATCTCGAAACTATGGTAAAAAAGTATATTGAAGGTAAAAATTGGCTGTAGTCGATTTTGTGTCGTTGAAAAAATGATAAGATCATAACCCATATCGTGAATGTAAGTTCTACTTTCTACTTATTGAAATACTCATTATATCATGGCATAGCAAATGCTTTTGTGCAAAGATATTTATTGACGAGTTGTTGTCCAATAATCAATCTGTACGATGGGTTTTGGTACGATAAGATAACTGAACGCTGCAAAAGGTTAAAAAATTTTGACAGTTGTAATTATTACTTAAAAACCGTTATCAATCTTCTTTAATTGATCTTTAATAGGATCATGCTGAACAGTTCCGGTGTTCTCATCGTTTCTTCTTGTGGCTGACGTCATTTACCTTGCTTATACTTATAAATACTCAAATAATTTGTCACATTTATTTCAAGATTTAACTTCCCTTTGATGTTTAAAGTTTGTTATAAGATTTTTATTCACCCTGTAGACTTTCTGTTCTTTTTTTCACATCTGAAGTAAATGACTTCAAATTGTATGCAGTTTATCGAAAACGCGAAACAGAATTTTCATTTAATTCCCATTGTCTGAAACTTGAACATTTTCTTTGCATTGAATAGGTAAACTATTTATCATAATTGAATTTTTATCCTTCTTCACTTAAATGTTTTATTCCAATAAAATGTTTCTGATTCCATGAACTTAAGAAAGAAGTTCTGAGGCAGTTAGAAAAAAAAGAAAACGTCAATGGGAGTGCAATGTACTATCTAGAATGCGTTACAAGGTTGCAGAAAGACAGATTTTGCCGATGTTAGTTTTAGGACAAAACCAATGGCGTGCAAAAGAAAGAATTTGATAGTTTATATGATTTCATTTTGGATTTGAACAAACATCCAAGGCAATAGTGAACTTAGGAGCTATAATGTGTATACCCATTCGGATAATTTGCAGTTCGTATGTACAATTTCGTTGTGCTAAAAATCGACTGTGTTTCGTATATATTGTTACTAAATTTGAATACTATATATGTTAATTTTGCTAACTATGTACTTTATTGTTTAATAGAATAATAAATGTAAAGCCTCTAGTTGGGGTTCATGTTTTTATAAAAAAAAAATCTTATAAAATCAGTATAAAATCTTAATACATTATATATATGGTTTTCTCCTCAATTTCAGGCTAACTGGTGGAATGTCTTGGTGAAAATGCCCATTGATGCTAAATTTTCGTTCAACATGTTTCACATACATACGAGCTTAAGACTAAACTCTGGCAAGATGGTACACATAAAGAAAGCCACTGTGCACTGCCATGTCCAACGGATCTTTCGTTAAACAGGGCTTGTAACAAACATTCCACAATCCTTAGTATGAAGCTTTGTCAAGAACACACACACCCGCGCGCACTCTCACGCACGCACACGCACGCACACACACGCGCACACACGCACGCACACACACACAGAGAAAACACATGTCGATTTAGTGTTTCATCGTATCAGAACGGGAAGACTTTTTCTCCAGTATGAACTGTCCTAATGTTAAAATGTGTCTATTTTCGAGTGCTATATAATATTTTGGAGTGCTATATAATATTTTGAGGTGTTATATAACCATACGCATATGCTATAGGTAATTGTTCATTATTTTCACCATATATCGGTAACTAATTGCTAATGCCCAGAGAACAGACATCAGTCGGTCATGCATAACACTCATCGTAAGGGGCAAAAGTTTTGCGTACAGTTAGTTTATCGAACCAATTATCATGCGTACAGTAAGAAATACGGAAATATTGTGGGATATATGCGAATAATTCTTTACGTTCTTTTCTCTTGATTTTATAGTTTTGCTTTTTTTAGTTAACACGTTAATTAGTGCTTATACTAATCAAGTATCTGTTTCAATATATTTGTTATTGTATTCTTTTAAAATGTTTGTCAGGTTGCTGGTGGCATTTAAAGAAACAAATAACCTCAATAGCTTTCTCCTTACCATGAAATATATTCTTCATATGTATCATACTTTGGGTGCCTTTCCCTTGAAAATGTGTCAGAGTTAAATCGTTTACATAATTATATACATGCACATTTCGTTAACTGTAGTGCAGGTATTAGTTACCTGCGCTCCAGAGCATGTCCATTGATTGGCTCATTGGCGTCCGCGCCGAAGCGCGGCGCCTTTTATGTAATGAAATCAGATTTTGTGAAAGGGCGACAGCATCTTCTCGAGCCTTTTATAGATGTTCATAATAAAAGCCGATCATTCCGATCGGTGTGAGGGTGCTTGATTATTAATTAGTCGCGATACGTACAATGAATAGCGAACTGGAGAATTTCGCAATGCAAACATTTTCAAATTAAATAACCTTTTCCGTCAATAAATCGCGCTTTTCAGGGTATTTTTATTTATCATTTTGTAGTACACAGTGGATTATTATGGTATGTTATTCCGAAAGCTGTAGCTGTAAATAAAATGATGAGTTGATGACCTAAATATTCCGTAAATCTATTTATAGAGGGATGTACTCCTGTCGGTAATTGTCGGTCACTCCTGGTCTATTTTGACTACCGGCGAATAGTACCACACGTTTATTGTCCGGTCTCTCCCGGTTTTGGAGATGTTTGATATCGTTACAGAACAGAACAAATCTTTTACAGATAAATAAGCTTTTTTTTTCAAAATGAATGTTTGTCACTTAGTTTGGTTACAATAATTAATAAACACAGATCAACTATCAAAATTATTGCTTATTATTATACATAAACATACAATTCGAAAAAAAACCAACAACACAAATTGCATGTTTTATTTTATCTATATGAGATAAAAACAATAAATATGTACAATAATTGAGAAAAAATGTACATTTTTATGGCATTAATATGACACTATCAACTTTGAAACATTTTATTTAATTTGTTATTCGTGTTTAGTAAAGATGCCGAGGAATTGTTCAAAGTTACAAATCAGATTTTATGAATTATTCAATTAATTGATAATTTAAGAAATGATAAAGAAAAATACAAATATACATGTATATGGTTTAAGAATAAACAATATTATATATTGAAAGATTAACCATAATTTACTGACTTTTTCCAGTTAAGTTTTGACTTATAATCGTCTGTCATTATGACAATTGAATTTTTAAAATAATAGTTAACGTAAAAACTCAGTCAGTATTAAAATAGTGCATAAAACACAAAAAAGAAAAGAAAACAATATTCATAAAATCTGTATTTTTTATTAAAAATTATTACAATTAGTGTATAATAAACATTTTTAAAAACATTTATGCTCAACATGATCAACATGGTAATATAACAAGTGTCATATTGTTACTAAGTGTGAACAGATACCTTAAGAGGTGGTCTTCGCTAATAGCGATAACATAATAAGGGACAATTACACAAGTGTGGTGTTGATCATTTGTTACTCATATGGATTATAAATGATTGTATACATGTATATCCGTTGCTATTAATAATCACGATCATAAAGAAATAACAAGTAATATTCTAATTTCTAGCATGCCAATCAAATTTATAAATAATGAACAATGTCTTTCGTTCCTTCATTCAGAAGTAATATACAATTCTGTTAAAAACCAATGAACCATTGAACAGTTTATCATCATATATCTACTAGTTCATCTGCACCTGCTGCATTTCTTGCTTGGACGCCCTTTGATGCTTTGCATCAATGCTTTTCTTGTTTTATCTGGAACGACAAAAAATGGGATAGCGATAGAAATATCATATTCAGATCATCGTTCATTGATTACTTTTTTCTGGGCTTTCATGTTGTGACAACAGGGAACGTGTTTTTAGTTTTGCCTATGATAGAAAAGAGAAAGATTTCTTTCTCATACCAGGTACGTATATTAACGTACGTAATATACGTACCTGCTCATACACAAGTATATGACCTGCTCCGCGTGCACTTTATTATTCGAACAAAATCAAACCGACTCATACTCATGTTATTTGTCACGTACCTCTATGCATTCGACACCCCCTTGTTCAATAATGAAAAGGTCAGAAAATCGAATTTTCCCGAAGTACGGCGGAGAGTGCCGGAAATTTTTCCACTTCACACATTTAAGATCACGTGACCATTTGAGTGTTTATCAACAGCCAACATTATTTTTGGAGGGAAAGTCGTACCGAGAAGATGGAAGGACTGGTGTTCCCTGATAGGAAAGTAAGTTTGTTGATTTTTACGAATTGTGTCGATTAAATTCTTAATTTATTTTCCAGCTACCGGCCTGTGTTGTGTACCTGCTTATTTTTACAGCCAGGTACGTACATTTGCACGTGATAATTGTCTATTAGAAATGATGTGCTATTTTTAGCAGTTAGTGTTCATTTATTATGATACATATGTTATTTTAGTTGATCTTTTGAGATTTGAAAAGGGCTTTGAGAAGTCGATTTTTGATCAAGCTGGCCAGCAGCGCGACGTTCTATACATCGGCGGTTTTTGGGGAGGCTATGCCGACCCAATGTTAATACCATCTGTCAAATCTTACTGCCGCGGTAATCAGGTCAAAAAATAGTACCTTGATTTTTCTAAGCTGACTGATCACTCATCACATACTTTTACAATATGAAAATATTTTCATTCTTTAATTTCATATCAGATAATAATTCTCTGAAAAATTCTTGATTTTTGTTTGTTATTTTTTCAAAATCACTACTCCGTGACGTCATACTGCCGCGGTAATCAGGTTTATGTATACGTACGTCTGTAATAAATAGTTCTGGTATGAAAACCCTTCTACATAATAATGTTATCAATAATTTTTTAACAAAAAGCATAAATGAAAATTTATAAGTAAATGCTTTTATTAGGTGGCAAATATTCTTTATCATTTTTGATAACAATTTTCCAGTTACTACGCAGCGACCAACTGTTTATGACGGGTCATTAACTAGAACGTTGCAACACCGTAGTCTCAATATCATGCATGTTCTTTTGTTGATATAAACCATTAATAGTCCTTAATATTTTTTAAAGACAAATAATGGTAAATTGTCGCTTACATCAGAGACATGGATCGTGCTTGCGTGATAACTAAGGAAAACTAACTTATTAGTACACCCTAGGAGGCTGTACGCGGAAAACGCTCATAAACCGCCATATCATATAGCTGTAAAGTGAACAGTTAAATGACAGAAATATGTGGTCAAATATGTTTTAACAAGGAAATAATTATTTCAGAGAAAGACGCAAAGATCAGTCTTCAATCAAATGAATGATCCCGTATTGTGTAATTAGAAAGTTTATTCAATTCTAGGGCAACGCATCATAATTTGCTAGTCCATGTGTAATAAAATTCAAATTTTCAATACAGATTATGAGATACATAACAATATTAAAGAATAAGAGGCTTAAAAAACAACAACAACAAACGCATATATATATATATATATATAACATATACGAAATCCAGACAATGCATTATTACCAGTCAGTCGACACATTGCCATTTGCGCAAAAGACATCACTCCAAAGTTTAATATAATGCCAATCTATAAAATGCGAGAACCAGACACATTCAAAAGAAGAATGAAAGAAACTGTTTTAATAAACGTTCTTAAACCAGAATTGAATTCAAAATAACTTTGATATATATATAACAATAATATTATAGCTTATTATTATGTCCCTTTAAAACGTTATAAGAGTAACGTCCCTTTACACTGTTTTGACGTCGTTACCAAGCGACGTTATTAACGTCATTATCTTGAAGATCCCTTTAACGGGTGAAACCGGTTGATATTTCTCTTCAATTATTTATTACAGTTTTGTTAATAAACAATTGCAATGTAAACTGGAAAAGGCATCACTTCATTCTTTTTTTCCCGCTATTTTTATCCGTATTGTTTTAAACTTTACATTTTGGATATATATATATATATATACAAAAAATGAAAACAAGTGCCGGAAAAAAGTCACATATAAATAAAACAAAAAACACAGTCCATGAGTTAACTTATTTAATTATTTGCCAACCGGTTTCTCTTATGATCATCAGGGCAAATGTGACGTCGTCGCATAGTAACGACGACGTTTTTGTGTACACATGTGTACGCATAATCTAAAAATAGTAACGTCATTATATTGTATTAAGTTTTGGATTAAAAACATCAATAAAATAGCGTTCTTTTGATAACCTAGCTGAAACGTTTTTACTGTGAAATTTATAAAATGGGAAAATACAAAATTTCGGGTCTTTTTTAGAGCATTTATCTAAATGCTCACTTAAAGGTAATTGTCTTGTTGATGGGTCTCTTATCTGCTGAGCATGAACAGTTTTTCTGTTCCTGAGTTTGTCGCCTGTTTGGCCTATGTAAAATTCTTTGCAGCCGTTGCAAACTAAAACATATAAAACATTTTCAACAGTACAGTCCATATTTTCTTTTGTATGAAATATTTTATCCTGAAGTTTTAAAGAATATCCTTCTATTAAATAATCACAGAGGCCACACCTCTGTTCGTTGCATTTTTTAACACAGGGCATTATATTGTTTTCTTTAAATTCTGAACTTATTAAAATGCTTTTTAAATTTGGTAATTGTCTTTTGCATTTTATAATGTTGGTGTTGCTTATTATCTTTTCATTTTTTCATCATGTTTCAGAATTTCCATGTTTGTTTTAATTATGCCAAACAATTCTCTGTTTTTCGGGTTACATGTTGAAATATATGGAAGAATTTTGTTTTTTGGTTGCTCCTTAACTTGAAGTAAGGTGGTTCGGGGAATCTCTAAAGCTTTTTTAATACCAGTTTTTATAAGTTGAATTGGAAATTTTCTTTTAATTAGAGTGATGGCGAGTTCCTTAAGTCTAATCTTAAGTATTTCCTTATCAGATACAATTGCACATATTCTCCTTGCTAGCGAAAACGGGATATTTGTTTTAATGTGTTTTGGATGACACGATTTAAAATTTAGATATTGTTTAGAATCAGTACTTTTAAAATATACATCAGTGACTATATATGTTCCTTTCTTAATAACCATTACATCTAAAAACGGAAGTCTGTCTGTATTTTGTTGTTTCTTAAATTGTATATCTTTATGAAGTGAATTAAGTATTTTTTCAAAATATAATAAATCAATTAGAGATCTTTGCCAAAATATAAAACAATCATCCAAAAATCTTTTCCAGTTACATTGAATATAATTAGCAAAATCTTCACCTTTCTGTTTGTTAATTTCTGAATACAATGTTTCTTCTAAATAACCTAGTACAAGTGTTGCATATGTTGGAGCAACCTTTGTCCCCATGGCTGTACCTTTATACATATATATATACGAATGACTTACAGTTTAGCATCGGGAATTCATCAACATATCTTACGAAACTTTAATTTGAAAACGATATTTGCGGGCGCTGAAGTGATTAATGTTTATTTGAATAAATCAAATAAAAAAACTTATATGTTTGTGTTCTAAAAATAATCGGCGGCATAAGAGGAATTTCGTATTCATTTTACAACACTTGAAAAAATACTACAGAAAATGTGTTGTTGTTTTTTTGTTTTGTTTTCAACAAAAGTGTGTGTGTTTTAAGTTTATTTATACTCGGGGCCGGAATAACCATATGTCCGAGATTATAGAATCGAGGACGTCTTTTTCAAGCCGAATCTTCCTGGTAGCCCATTCTTCGTTCGTTGGTGGTAAAGGAGACGACAATACTGGCAAGGCATCAACTTCCTGACTGACGACAACAAAAACGGCATTCATTAGCGCCAAACCTCCAGAGTAAGTCACGAAAGGACAACCAATCACCTCTGGTACTTGAGATGACTTGACCTTGACCTGCCGTGTGCATTCTCCGCGACGTGCACGCCTCTGGAGGGATTTGGAGAAGTTTCAACAAAAAACTTCCAAAACACGCTATTTATAAATTATAACACCATTCATAGCACTGACGCTTCGATGTTCTCATCTATTTGCGGGAAATGGTCGACAGGGAAAACCCTACGTAATAACCGCACACCCTGTTAACAATAGATTTTCCGCAGTTATATTTCAAGCTAGTGAGGTTTAAAAAATACATGTAGAATCTATCTATTAACTACCATAAGTTGGTTGAGTGTTGGCGGTAAAAAAAGAAGATATAACTTCCTGATCAATTTTCACTTAGGTTGATTCAACTTTGAATAAGCTTTGCAGATATGTATTTTTTCAAGAAATATTTAGTTTTAATAAATATCCGAAGCCGTCAAAGTCAGCGACGAGTAATGAAATGGGAATAATTTTCTGAAACGTGATTTTATTCCAGATTTGCTTCGGAAGAAGACATCTTTCTGTCCGTAGAGCATGGATATTAATACTCATCACAAGACAGTATCTTATTGATCTCAATTATGGAACATGACATGTAAATATGTATAATTTTTATGTTCAATAAAAATGTTGCATAACTTGCAGTTTATTATCATTCAATGATATTAAAATGATATTAAGTATTTATGATGAACAGTCCTAGAATATTTTGATAAGGAACAGTCAGTTGTAAAATGTTATTGTTATCTTATAATGAACAGTCGTCATACTTTCTGGTATGTCATTTATTATTGACAGTTTAGGTTTTTCAAAATTTGCAGGATTAGCAGTCCGAATGTAGACCTCAATGAAATGTTCTGGAATATTAACAAAATGAATAGTCAACCATATTAACCATATATATGAATGGTTGAACACAACAGTATGGATAAATGACACAATGTGCATATCTTCTTATTTTGGTAATAATTGAAATAACAGCACATTTTAAGCAAAAAGAAAAGAAACTATAAGTCTGAAACATTCTGTCATAGCCTCCCCATCAGTACATTCAGTGCTTTGATTGTTTATGTACAAACTGTTTAAAATATCTCCCACGTGCTGATGTATATACATGTACGAATTTGGTGCATATACATGTATATATATAAATATATTTCCTACCTCTCTTTACACACAAATATATTTTTGTGTAATTTGTATATATACACAGTATGTTGATGTTGAAATGGGTTTATGATAGTCCAAAAAATGTTTTAAAATGTAATTTTTGCGTTGTTAGTGATAGTAGTAAAGTAATTTAGTGATACTTTAAAAGTGGTACTGAATTGTTGTTTCTCATTGCATTTCCTGTCAAAATGTTTATAGTATTGGTGTTATATTAGTTGATATGTTATGAAATTAGAAATTGGGCTGTGCTCATCCAATTGTTTTAAAATGCGATTCTGCCTGGCTTCGCGCTGCGTTTACTCGTGATTTTAAATGTTCTGAAATTGCATAATACCTAATTAAAATTATTACACCCACCTATATAACCCTAATGTGCTCTTCTTGGTCCCTTCCTATATAAAATGTCAAAAGTTTATAGATTTCTTTTTATGTATAAATTTGTGTTAGTTTAGTTGATAGGAATGTGTTTATGCTGGTCAATCTGGTCAGTCTGTGTAATCGCGCGCGTTTTTAGATATAATCGTGATGTTAGCTTGTGCCGAATTTTGATTTATACTTTTGTCATTTCTCATCATTATTATAATCATAACCATAGTGCTGTATTGTATTTGATTTGATGCTAGTGTATTTGATATGAATACTTGTCTACCCACTATGAAATTCATTCATTAACCCAATCCCCACTCCCTTTAGACTATAAGCCACTCCTTTTAATGCTATGTTTATTACAGTTAAGAGTTTAGTTTAGAAGTCTTGTACATATTATGAAACTGACCAATTAATATGTTTGTGTTTTAATACCTATATTTTTTGTACTTTTAGATCTACAGTACTTGGAAGTTGCCAGGTTCTTCTAATTGTATAATAGAATTATAATAATATATTCCAATATTTTGTGTCTGGAGACCCCTTTGAATAGAAGAGGTTGGAGGGTCCTGATTGTGGTGGATAGACGAAGATGTGGATGGCTGTGTAACATTGGCAAAGTCTATGTGTTGGAATGTGGCATGATGGAGCTATTGGTAATTTTAATATGTTACTTGATTTTAAGGATTTTGTCATAATAACTCTTTTTTGTAAACAATTTGGTATTTCGTGTTGTGTGTAAATTTGTAAAAAAATTACAGGTAGTATTGAGTATTTTACTATATTTTATTTGATTTTAATGGATTTTTCATTAAGAAAAGAACTGAGCTTAAGATGATTGTTTTAGTTACACCCATATTTTCATGATTGAGTATATATCAGATGCTGCTACTGATATATGCTCAAATATCATGCTTGACTTTAGGTCAACCATATTAAAATAAGATTGAATCATTATTATTTTAAATTTATTTTAAATAATTTTAAATTTTAAAAAAAATTATTTATTTCTGATTTAAGGGTTGTGTACATAAAATGGAATTTCTTGTATGATGTAAATTTCTGTGATGTTTGATTGTAGTGTCATATTTGCTTTTAATCAATTAATATTATCTTATCCATATTTATATGTGCTTATAAATCTTATTTGTTTTACTCACTCATAAATGTACATTGATCTTCTTAATACTTTTATATATTTTCTTTTAAACAGATTGTTTGTTTATATTGTTAAAGGATAGTCAGTTATGTCCGAAAATAGCTTATATAGCTAATGTTTATATGTTTTATGTAACCGACTATAAATAAAGATTATCTTACCTTATCTTATCTTATCAGTTGAGAATTACAGTTGATTGTCTATAGCTATATAGATTGGAAGGTCAGTGGTTCTATTCATAATGTCAAATTGCTCCTCTTTGCACTTTAATGGTGCTTATTTTCATCTGTCACGTAACTTAAAACCATTAAATACCAAATAGTTACCTGTTTAGTAGGAAAGTAATTTGTAAAGATATTGTAGATGTTAGGGGCGTCCGTTCCGAGTGGTTAAGGTCGTTGACTTCAAACCACTGGCCCCTCACCAACGTGGGTTCGAATCCCGACAGGGACTTTTGATTCTTTCATGTGAGGAAGCTATCCAGCTAGCTTACGGAATGTCAGTGGTTCTACTCAGGTGCCCATTTGTGCCTGAAATAATGCACAGAAGGGCACCCCCCCAAAAAAAAGAAGATATTGTAGATGTTAAAATTACGAGATTGGAATGTTGTTTTGTTACCCCTATGATCTTTCAGACCATGGAGTTGCATCAAATGTGATGATGGATGTGATCTTGCAGACCATGGAGTTGCATCAAATGTGATGATGAATGTGCTCTTGCAGACCATGGAGTTGCATCAAATATGATGATGGATGTGATCTTGCAGACCATGGAGTTGCACCAAATATGATGATGGCTGTGTATGTGTTGGAATGAGGCATGATGGAGCAATTGGGTATTTTACTAAACATTACTTTATTTTAAGGATTTTATCATAGTAACATTTTTGTACACAATTTGGTAATTTGTGTTGTGTAAATTGGTGAACAATTTCAGGTATCATTGAGTATTTTACTATATTTTACTTGATTTAAATGGATTTTTCATTAAGAAAAGAATTGAGTTTAAAAAGATTATTTTATTCAGTTGAGAATTACAGTTGATTGTCTATAGCTAGTTAGACTGGAAGGTCAGTGGTTCTATTCATGATGTCAGTTTGCTACTCCTTGCATTTTAATGGTATATTTTTTTTCTGCCACATAACTTTAAACCATTAAATAACAAGTTGTTGTCTGTTCAGTTGGAAAGTAATTTGTAAAAATATTGTAGATGTTAAAATTATGAGATTAAAATGTTTTTTTGTTACCCCTCTGATCTTTCAGACCGAGGAGTTGCATCAAATGTGATGATGGATGGATGTCAGAAAGTGGACAATGACAGAGTAATGAAGAACAATTGTTTCTAGTTTAGCTAAGGGTTTGTTTAAGGTATGGTCAATGTTAACATTTTGAGATTGGAATGTTGTTTTGTTAACCCAGTGACTTTTCAGTAAACCTATAGACCATGGAGTCTGAATGGCTTAAGTGGCATTAAATGTGATGATGGATAGATGTCAGAAAATGGATGGTAAAAGCACACTTGTGACAGAGTAATGAAGAACTTGACATGCATGGTGGAAGTTGATCGAGACTATCAATTCTTCGAGAGGTCCAGCGACTATATACTCGCAAGAAGGATATGGTATGGAATAGCTTTCTACACCTCTGTGCTGGCAGATTTGTAAGATTGGAAGTTGTTTCAGTGTGGAGAGAGATGAACACTTTGTATGGTCTGGTAAAATTTGCTTTTGAAGTCACAAGTAAGTCTCAATAAAGGCATTTCCATTTATAGTTTTCTAACTAGCTATGTATTGGAAAGTTGGTGGTTCTACTCTTAAAAGGTGTCTGTCTTTGTCCGAACAATGTCATTAAGGCACATTTTCTTCTATCTTAAAAGTTGGACAGTCACCAAAATTAAACATAGAATGGTATCTATTTAATGGAGAAATTGTTAAGGTTATTGTGTTACTTTTTGAGAGTGTAATGTTGTGCTATTAACCCCAGTGACATTTCAGAAAACCTTTCCGGAGTTGGCTTGATGGCTAGATTGATGTCTGAAGTTATGATGGTGGATTTATGTTGGAATGTGGATGGATGTGTGACATTGGTGAAGATTTGTCAGATTTGGAGTTGCTCCAGTGTGGAGAGAGATGGAAACAGTGTATCGATTAAAAAAACAGTGTATCGATTAAAAAACTACTTAAGAATGTCACTGGTACGTCTCATTATAATTTATAACAAGTCGGGACACAGTCCATCCTTGATATTTCGAATTGCTGTGGATTGAAAATTTACTTTTAATAATTGATGGGTTTGAATAATCAAAATACCAATATAGTGATGACAACAAATATTCAACTTTTGGTCTTATGCCAATCATACCAAAAGTGGCGTTTACAACACACTTGTTTCCATTAGTCTGTCGAAAAATGAGCAACAAAAGATGTGTACAAAATAAAGTTTTATTGGCAAATTGAAGGCATGAATATTTGCATTTTATTCTCCATTATGTAGAACATGCAGTGACATGAAAATTATGACTGTCATCTTCAAGCATTTACAGTAATAATTACACAGTGTAGAGTTTTAATCATAAATATGATGCATATTCATTATTAAAATATCTATTGTTAGTGGACATAATGCACTGATTTGAAATAGAAAAAGAAATTTTTCAGTATTCATATACAAAAACATGGTAGTATTTGCTTGTTTATTGATTTCTCTATTTCAATTGTTTACTTTCATTCTTTAATAAAAATTAGTAAATTGAATGCTTTTAACCGTCAAATAATTAAATGAATAACTGGCTTGCAGGTGATTTTCGGTAATAAAGAAATTAAAAAAAAACAAGAATAATTATCAGCATTGTTTAAATACACACACGCGGTTGTTCACAAGTTGGGACTGAGCTATTAATCCATGTATCCATCAGCAAGCCTTAAAATTATCTTTGTATTTTGGTAAGGTTTGTTATATGGAGTTTAACCTTTTCCCTTATATAAGCGTGTTTCGACGGCTTTTTGCCCCCCCCCCCCTTCTTGAGGCCTCAAACAGTGAAAAAATGCCCTATTTAGGCCCCAAATACTGTTTTTCGTTTGAGAAATGTTGTTAAAAAAAGTGACCACTTTTTCGGCGCCGTCCCCCATCCAAATATTACATCAGGGGGTTGCCAGATGGGGGATGTGCCCCCTTCTGTTTGAGGGGTTTGAAGGGGGGCGGAGTCCCCCTCATCTCCAAGAAAATTTTGGACATGTGAAAGGCTAAAAATGGCCTCAGGTCAATCTTAGAGTAACTAGTAACCGACGCTGAAAAGCCTTTTACTCTATCTCAATTCATTGATAAGTTGCAGCACTTTGAAATCAGTTTTGATGGAAAAAAGCAATGCAAAATAGTGATTTTTGGCAATTTTGAGACGTCCCCCGTTGCCATGGTAACAGGAAATTTACCATTGAGCATGCTGTTACAGAGGCTATGGTGTAGTCAACATTTGTGCCAAGTTTCATTAGTATTGAAGCATTTTTCAAAGTTTCATAGCGGTTTGAACTTGTTACAGGAGGCTTTTCAATGAAAACGTCCATTTTTCGCAATATGCTCATGGGGTAAAAGGTTAATAAAAAAAATCAAAAATGTCAAAATACAACAATTTTTCACAAAATTTCGGTGTTAGGGCATGTGTTAACAGGGAAAATCTAGTTTTTGTGTAATTCCAAGGTTTTTCATCATTTTTTGTTAACCTTTTCCCTTATATAAGCGTGTTTCGACGGCTTTTTGCCCCCCCCCCTTCTTGAGGCCTCAAACAGTGAAAAAATGCCCTATTTAGGCCCCAAATACTGTTTTTCGTTTGAGAAATGTTGTTAAAAAAAGTGACCACTTTTTCGGCGCCGTCCCCCATCCAAATATTACATCAGGGGGTTGCCAGATGGGGGATGTGCCCCCTTCTGTTTGGGGGGTTTGAAGGGGGGCGGAGTCCCCCTCATCTCCAAGAAAATTTTGGACATGTGACAGGCTAAAAATGGCCTCAGGTCGATCTTAGGGTAACTAGTAACCGACGCTGAAAAGCCTTTTACTCTATCTCAATTCATTGATAAGTTGCAGCACTTTGAAATCAGTTTTGATGGAAAAAAGCAATGCAAAATAGTGATTTTTGGCAATTTTGAGACGTCCCCCCGTTGCCATGGTAACAGGAAATTTACCATTGAGCATGCTGTTACAGAGGCTATGGTGTAGTCAACATTTGTGCCAAGTTTCATTACTATTGAAGCATTTTTTACAGTTTCATAGCAGTTTGAACTTGTTACAGGAGGCTTTTCAATGAAAACGGCCATTTTTCGCAATATGCTCATGGGGTAAAAGGTTAAAACAAATTGTGAATGTTAATCATCTGTTAAAAGGTTGGAACGATATTTTATTCAACATGTATCCAAATTTTATCTTTATAGTTAAAAACATGAGACTAATATAAATATGTTGGCACCATCTGCTTCCATAATACAAAAAAAAAATTATTTGCTTGGCCATGTGTATGGATTATGTTCCCAAAATCCTGGAAAAAAAACCTTTCAGTTGAAAATGATGTCATTCGGGCACCTATATTACTGAGTTGCATACTTGGGATCATATGTCATTATGCAAAATTAATTAACCGCTTCTGTGGTCGAGGTGTTAGAGTCAATGACTTCTAATCCAGTTACCTCTCTGGCATGGGTTTGATCCCCGGGAGATGCTTTGGTAGTTTAGCGCGGAGGAAGGAAGTCTAGTACTGGTGTAACTCTCCAGGAACGATGGTTGGAAACTACCCGCCTATATGACTGAAATACTGTTGGGAAAAGGCAAAAATGAAACAAACAAACAAAACAAAATTAGTTGACGATGACTAGTCTTTTATAAATTTTATCACTTGATAGATGAAACCTGTGGTGTTAGTGTATGTGAGATGTTATTTTAGCATCATATAAGTAAAAATATAATAAGAAAAATATTAGTAAAATGCGATACTTTACAAAGCTTTTTTAGGGCAACAATATCTTTTAAATCGAGGAACAAATGACAGCCGCATAACGAAGACAGGTATGGACAGATAACTCTGGCTAGTTTTGCTTAATTGTCTCCCTTTAAATTTAAAATAGTTTCTTTATATTTAAAAACAAAAAGCATCACACATTTGCTATCAAGGACAAGTAACTCTGCCAGGCACTTTGTTGAATTATGCCCCCCTTTCTACTTTCTTTTTAAAGGGGAGCATGCTATCTGTGGACAGGTCTTAACAGGTCTTATTATTTTGATAATTTGGTGGCTGGTAGTTTTCACTCCAGATCACGGCAATAAGCCACATTGAATTTACCTGAGCTCAATTCGGCCACTGCATTGTTCCTGGGCAGGCTGTCATGCATGTTTACCAGTACTGATTGCCTTCACTTACACAAGGAACTGATAACTTCTGTACATGCCAGAGCAGAAGTTCAGTGCGAATGACGATAGAAAGGATTTCATGATCAATCACAATGAAAGTGACCTGCACCGTCGGAATCAAAATAGGGTCGCCCGATTCATAGTCCAACAGGGGGCCCCTCTATTAAGCTAACGGACGGCTATTTTGATAATTTGTCTAATAATGCCATTTGTACTCTTTGTTGATTCACTAATTGGTCATCATTCATGTAAACCAATTCTTCTGTATTTTTCTTATAGGAGATCTGATGGCTTCATCGGAAAACATTGTAGTGTGTGTGTATGTTAATCTGACGGGACAATGATTCCATTATAAAGTAAGAAAGTTTCAATGATTTACAAAATATATTAACATTTATTCTGTGTAGAAGTTGTAACTAAATTATACTTTTTTCTATTT